CTCTCTCTCTCTCTCTCTCTCTCTCTCTCTCTCTCTCTCTCTCTCTCTCTAACATTGCCCTTTCTCTTTTAACTCATTCTCTCTACCTAGCTAAGCCCTCGAGTTCCTTTCTCTATGTAGTTATGCCCTTTCTCTATAACTCCTCTTTCTATTTATGCTCTTTCACTCGCTAACTCTCTCTTTCTCTTACTCTTGAACTTCTCTCTCACTCCCTCCTCGCTCTCTAACAATGCACTTTCTATCTAACACATTTCTCTCTTTAATTCCTCCATCTAATATTTCCCTTTTATAGACACCCCCTGAATTTTTGTTAAGAAATTCTCAAAAACCCGTAGCCTGAACCATTAGGGACCGCACTAGTTTAATGAAGCTTGGTATACCATAGTACGTAGTCTATAATCTCTATAAAGTCCTTAGAAGTCCTAAAGCAATCAGATTTAACATAATTTATCCAAACATATTCTAAAGGGAAAGGTTTTTTTACTTCCCCTATAGCATAGGAGATCTGTGCTTTCCCTACCATCCAACCGTCCAATTTTGATCAAGAGAGCCCCTCACCGTTTGATCTTAGATCCGACGTTTCAAAGTATTTTATTTTTATTTTATTGTATACAAATTGTATGAATGCAAAATTTGGTACATGCCATCTTCTCATTGGGGGGACTCCTATAAAAAAAATATTAAAAATAATTTTTTGATAAAATATAATGACCAAAATAGCCCTTGAAATTTTTAGGGGTATTTTGGTCATTTTATTTTATTAAAAATATTTTTTAAATATTTTTCTCTAGTGCAAGTTTATAGTGGATTGAACGTCCAAAATTTGGTGTCAAAAGAGTTTATATAAAAAAAATTAAAAATAAAATAGTGTAGAAACCTGACATTGTGATTGGGGCAATCTTAACCCTCCATTTAGAATGGATGGTTGGATAGGAGAAGTATATAAGTTTTATGCTGTAAGAGAAGCATAGAAAGCTTGCCCTATTCTAAAACCCTTAAATCTAGCCCACACTTTCTATAAAATCCTTAGAAGTCTTAAAAGAATCAAATTTATCCTAATTTATTCAAGGGAAAATTTCAAAACCCCTCTAAAATGGCCTTTTTATGCACTTTACCCCCACATAACATTTCCTAGCAAATACCCCCCACAAAAGTTCATTTTGTTTTGGAAAAAAATACCCTTCCCTCACATAACAAATTATTTTTGTTGGAGAGGGCGGTCCAACATTTTGAATAGGCGGTCTGACGATTATTTTTGCTAGAATGGCCGGTCCGGCGTTTCATGGTGGTGGTCCGGTGTTTCATTGTGGTGGTCAGGCATTTCATGATGACGGTCTGGCGATTATTTTTTACTAGAATGGGCGGTCCGGCATTTTGAAGTTGCAGTCTGGCATTTTGAAGGGGCAGTCTGGCGTTTTGATATGGCGGTCTAGCATTTTGAAGGGGCAGTCCAGTGTTTTGAAGTGGCGGTCCCGTGTTTTGAAAGTAAGCAGTCCAGTGTTGTACAAGTGCGATTTGACGTTTCTTTTTATTGGGATTAGAAAATGATTTGTTACATGAGGGAAAGGTATTTTCGTCAAAAAAATAACTTTTTGTATAGGGGGTATTTGCTAGAAAATATGATTTTTTTTTTTTTGTAAAAAATTGTTAGGAAAAGTTAGGTATGGGTAAAGTGTATAAAAAATCCAGTTTTGAGGGGTTTTTATAATTTTCCGTATATTCAAACCTATCCTAAAACCATTAGATTGCCAAACTTATTCTAATCTATCCAGATCTAAGCCTCAATCACTCCAAATCTCTCCACATCTATTTAAACTTGTCTTAATCTATTCCGACTTATCAAAAATAAAAAGATAAGTTTCTAGAAAGGCAAAAAAACCTTGAATCACAACTCGTTTAGAGTGTTAAAATCAAATAAAACCACCAGTGTGTCAGACTCAGCAAGATGTTATACATCATCTAGAGCTATCTATGGTAGGGCTTAGCAATGCAAAATTCATCGCGTGCCACTACGAACACTCACATCGTTGCATTCTTTTGGCTTTAGATATTTTTGGAGAGCCAATCCTTACGCCAGTACGATTTTGGGCTATATAAATAGAGAAAGTATATAATGAAATCATTTATCTTTAGTACAAAGTGGTCACAATTAATCTTGACTATTGGATATGAAATTGGGTGGTTGCATTTATTTCATTGACCATGCTCAAAATTCAAAAGAAATTTTCTTAAACTTTGTGATACACCCAAGCTATCAAAATCGAATAGTTGCAAGTAATTGTGACCTTCCTATACAAAAGGTATATGGTCTTATTGTATACAATCCCATATAAATACACCCTTCAAGTTTGTTTTCAAGGCATATTCACATAGACTTTGAGACCCTGGAGACCTATAGAAACCCTAGAATTATGATCCTCAACTTTCTTTAGCCTTCAAATTCTAGAAACCCTATGAAGAGCATGCCCAATGTCAAAATTACCTTCAAAGCCCAAGAAAGCTTCTTTACTTCAAGCAAATCTCTTCCGAGGATGAAGACGCTTCAATTGCTAATCTAATCTAAGCTATCAATTCTAGGTGTCTGGATTGAAGGCACCAAGTTTCAAGTCTTTTTCTATAAGAAATTAGTTTAGTTTCATTCTTTTTGTGCTTTTCAGTTTGTCCTAATTTCTTTATGGTTTTTACGAGATCTGAAATCAAACCTGCCGAGTGTGTGCGAGAAAAATTCTATTTTTGGAAAGTCATATTCTCATATACAATAAAATTTGACAGGCACTACTCGTTTCTACGGAGTTTTAATTAACATAGTTTAAACTTTAAAGTATAAATTAGAGGAAACTTCATCTAATATATTCCGGATTGGACTGCAAACGCCCTTCTTTCTCCCCCTTAAATTTTTTTTTTTTTTTGCGCCCCATCTCTCAACTCCCTCAGTTTTTTTTGGCTGTGCCCTCTCTCACAACTCCCACTTTAGTCGTGTTTACTCTCTTCAAGTGCTCTTTCTCTAGCATGCACTTTCTCTGTCTCTCTAACCTTGCTGAAAATGGTATTTTTCTAGGGCTGAATAGTATGTATTCCAATCATATGCAACTCCATGGACAAGCCAATTTCTCTTGTTTGCATTGCAAGTTCACAAAAAAATAAAGATTTACAAACACCAAGAATAAGCTTCCTCTGCAGCTTACCCCACTTTTTTTCCACTTTTTACCTCAAAATATTTTTTGGAGCCAATACTACCCCAAATAAAAAAAAAGCATATTTTTTAGATGAAAATATCCTTTTCTCTACATAAAAAATTATTTTTGGCCAAAAGGCGCATGGACTGCCAGACAGTCACCCGTTAAACTAAAAACAGTGTTGGACTCCTCTTTAATATTATCGTACCACAATTTGGACCTATTGTTGGACCGTATTGATCGGACCACATAGGCCTATTACCGGACTGCTTGGGCCTATTGTTAAACCGTTCTTTGTCAATGTCAAACCGCACGGGCCTATTGTCAGACCGTTCTTGTCCATGCCAAACCGCTTTGGGATATTGTCGAACGACTTATTTGCAGACAGACTTTTTGTGCTGGGAAAAGTCAAATTGTCGGTTTTAGAAGAGAGAGCTGGCAATTTGATCTTAAAAACTATAACTTTGTTATTGGGGGTATTTTCTAAAAAGGTTTTTTGTTGGTTACATGTCGTATGAGTAAGCTTGGCTGGGGGTAGGTTGTAAAGAAAGGTCGGTCCAATGTGCTTTTTGGTAAAGAAAAAATACTTCTGTAGGTGTACAGGAATTGCATCAAAATTTAGATTACCAAAGCACGTTCCGAACTACAATTACAAAACATACATCTCCTAGACATTGATTTCCAGGGACCCAATGGGGTATTGAAATCCCACCAATTCCTTTGACACATCGGAGGAGCCTAAACCCAACATAAGAATCAAAAGATCTATCTAGAAACCCCTGCAACAGAAATCTGTCCTAATCAGTGCCTTCTCTCTCTACTCTTAAGATTATCGATGGTATGAATAGGAAGGAGATGACGAAAAAACCAAAAGCCATGTTAATTTCAAATTTAATCCATAAAATGAAGATGAAATTTACAAAAAGACTACAGAGAAATTCACACCCAATAAATGCCCACTACATAGATAAATTCATAGAAAAAACCCTACATCTTCTTCACACAGGAAAATCCTACATCTTCACACCGACTGATTAAAAAGGATGAGACAATAAGAGTGGGTGTTTTAACAGCGGATTTGAGAGGTGAACCACTCCATGACGTGCAAGGGCGCTTTGATCAGTTCTAGAGCAAATTCCACCAAAATCGTCACACAAAGGCAACATGGGCATATGCATGTCAATGCTAACCTGCAAATCACAAAACCCAAATTCACAAAACTTACCATAAAAAGAAAATTTCAGAAGAAGAGAAAGAAAAGTGGAGATGTGGGTTTTCAATCTTATCAAATTTCAGAAGAAGAGAAAGGAAAATTGGAGATGTGGGTTTTCAATCTTATCAATAGAAATCACAGGGAATAAAGCCATGAATTTACCCAACGATCCATACAAGGATCCCGACAATGGAAACCAGAAGTGAAAGCAAAGCAAAGGGTAGGCCCAAAAGGAAGCCCAAAGGCCTGCACTCACTATCGCAACACATCCTTCCTCTCTCTCCTGTATCTCTTGTGGGAACTGACGCAGAGATCTACTCAACTGATAAAACAGGAAATTTCTTTCTCCTCTCTCTCTCCCCTGTAGGAACTGGATCAGATACCGACTCGAGAGAGAAAACAGGACCTCTTTCTCTCTCCTCTTTCTCTCTCTTAAAAAGGGAATCGCGGGGCTTGCTTGCCCGTATTCGAGCGTCTGACGCGTCTTTGACAATAAGGTAATAAAAAAATGAAAAAATATGCCCTAATGTTTATTCAGGTGTTGAAAACCTTTAAATCATCTCAGTTTTGAACTTTACGGGTACTTAAGAAAATTAGGATTTTATAAATTTAAAAAATAGCGCAACAAATCATCTTAGACCATCTACCTTAAAAATTAGTGTTTACGTATCTCTACTATTTTTTGAGTTTCAATTTTTATTGTCGGTATTAAAAAATAATTTTAAAGCCATCAAGAAGATTTTCGATGCAGAAAGTGCTTCTCGGACGAGGATTTGAGGTGAGACTATATTTTGTTTTCATAAAGCCTAGGCCCTGTAAAAACCTCATCATTTTCTTTAATGGAAATTATGGAAAGTCTTGTTTTCAAATAACCATTCTCCCCATTTATCTATCACTTACTATCAACGTCATCTTAATCCTCTTATGTCATGCATTTTACTAATCTTCATCATGTGGACGGTATATATTTTTTTTAATTAAGAAATGTTATTCTAATTTTTATTTATTTACTTTCTTCTTCTAACAATAATACGGGAGTTATTGTACTACTTGAGAAATCCTTATTAACCGGCATCTATGCTATTTTAAAAAAAATTGTCGAGCTGACTCAATATCACTCCGAAGGTTCAAAGAAAGAATTGAGAGATTCCCACCGGAAAGAGCACCCCAATTCTTTGTTTCTCTATTTTTCCAAATTTTTAGATGTCTTTTTTCACCTACGAAATTGAAATGCACGAGATAAAACAAAAGTACCGATCCTACTCCGTTTCTCATAGACAGTCATAAGGCAACACACATCCATGACAACAACAGGATAGGGTTTGTATGAGTCAGCCGGTTCATATGTATAATGTATCCGTTCTCATCTTTTCTCTAAAATTCATCATAAAACCGGATTTTTTGTCCAATTTTTTAGAGATTCATGATCTAGGACAAAGTGATCATGAATATGAAAATAAAAAGATAAAATTTTTAAATTTTAAATTATTTTTTAAAAAAATAACATCGATCTTAAAGATAGATGTTCATGGGTCAATGGGCTCTTACCTCGGCAGGTCACATTAAAATTTTTTTAACAATTTTTTGCCCATGGTATTTCCCAATCAACGTGGCCCTCCTCCATGTAACGTGTTTGTCCTTCAAGCACTTGCACGCCCCAATAACTACAACTCTTGGGATGATTAGTGGGCATATTGGTCACTAATTAATGTGTTTATCTTTCAGATGGGTTTGGAATTCTTGGATATCCTCTTAAGATCATTTTGGGGTGTTTTAAAAGAGATATGAGTAGGGGCATATTGGTCACCAATTAATGTCTTTTATTGGTCACTAATTAATGTCTTTATCTTTATAGGTTTGCGGTTCTTGGGTATATTCTTAAGATCAATTTTTTTTTGGGTGTTTTAAGTTTCATCTTTTATTTTTCTATGCCAAAGCATTTCCTGCAGGAGTATACTATTTATTTACTCCTTTGGATATAATACAAGAGATAATTTTTAAATCTTAAATTTTGGATATATAATCTCTCCAACCGAATAATCTCAGCAATTTTTTTTTTGAAATAAACCTTTTATATATTAGAAAAAAACTAATTCATCAAGATTGAATGGAAACGGACTAATTTTTTAATGGCTAGACCAAAGTGACAAAACTCTAAAATCAATATTTTTAAAAAAATAATCATCTAATAATTGCTATCTGCTTGTAAAATTTTAGATTAAAAAATCAAAAGAAAATTATAAATACCTCTAATACTTTTTGTATTATATATTAAATCCCAACACTATTTTTTTTTGTATTTACCTCCAATAAAAAAGTCATTAAGTTTTGAACAAAATTGTCATTTTTTCTCTCTTTCTCTTTTTTCTCTCTACCTCTCTCCACCTTTCCTCTCTCTTTCTCTCTCTACTTGTTTCTCTCTCTCTATCTCTTTTTCTCTCTCTACTTGTTTCTCTCTCTATCTTGCTTTCTCTCTCTACCCTTCCTCACTTTCTCTCTCTCTCTTTTTCTCTCTAATATTTTATGTGGTCCGATACACTGCTTGTTGGACCGATATATTTTTTGCAATCCAGCATGTTTTTTGCCACAAAAACATGCCGGACCGAAAAAAAAATTGGTCTAGCAAAGAGTATGTCGTACCGCATTATGGGCGGGGGAGAAGTTACTGTAATTTGTGCAGTCAGTCACACTCCTTGTCGAATCGAATTTTTGTTGTGGTCCAGTATGTTTTTGTGCCAGACTGCAAAAAAAAAAAAAATCCATCCGGCAAGGAGTGTGCTCTCATCTGGCATGTTTTTGTACCGGACTGCAAAAAAAAAATTCAACCCGACAAGAAGTGTACCGGATAACATAAAAAAAAAGAAGAGAGAAAGAGTGAGGGCGAATAGAGAGATAAAGAGTGAGGGAGGGTAGAGAGAGATAGAGAGATAAACAAGTAGAGAGAGAAAAATATGATGGGTGGAGAGAGGTAGAGAGAGAAAAAGAGATAAAAGGGAAAGAGAAAAAAAACAATTTTGTCTCCAAACTTATTGATTTTTTTATTAGAGTTAAATATAAAAAAAAATAATGTAAGAGTTTAAGGTATAATACAAAAAATATTAGACGTAAAATGTGTAAAAAGTTGGTTTCGACGGATATCTATAATTTCCCCAAAAATGAACTAAAGTTAAGTGTTTTACCGAGGGAGTACATACATGGCATTGCTCCCGTGGGAGCACAGTGTCTGCACTTTTGTTATTGCGCAATGACGGGGATGATGACGACTGAAGAAGGTTGGAGTACTTAAACGTCACGTCTTTTTACCTTAACACCCTTTCGTCAAAGTTGCTACATTCTGTTTACAACCTCGTAAAATCAAAGGGCACAATGGTAATTTTGCTTCTTTTCCCTAGGGTTTGGCTCCCCCATAGCAACCATTGAAATTTTCTTAGTGAGAAGTGATTGAGAGTTTGCGGTTGGCAACGGGTCATGTCGGATCCGGCTGGATCTGAAAAAAAAATTTATGGGACCTAGACCCGGCCAGACCCAACGTCACTGGACTCAGATATGAAAATATAATGAGGGAATTGGACCCGAACCTGAACCTGGACTTGCACTCAAACTCGACCGAACCAGACCTAAAAATCAAAATATCTGTATATTTACATATATTTAAATAGATTTAATAAGTTTATTAAATATATACATATATTATTTAAACATTATAACTAAAAATATATAATTATATTTATTTAAATATCATGTATTAAACATTATCTAAATATCAACACCGACCCGGACCCAGACCCAGACCCAAATAGTATTCAGATCCAAGATTTGGCTCCAGACCTGACCCGTCGGGTCCAATTTTTTAACCCATTCCCTAGACCGGTCCACCCATCAGTTCCCGGGTTGGATCCAAGTCCATTGCCACCCCTAGGGTTTTTAGGAGTGAGAGATAAAAGGGGGTGAAGAAGATTTATTTTTCAGATAATATTTTTTATCAATTTAGTTGAAAATCAATTTTCAAGGGCCCTAAATAGACCTAAGTAGAATCATATTACTTAATTAAAAAAAGAGAAATTTTCCCAATTCTTTTTTTTTTTTTGACATGGTCAAGAGCATTTATTGATGGGGTGTTGTAACAACATCAGATTGCAAAGATGGAATTAAAACATCATAAACATACAAAGAGGACAAAGAGCTTCCATATTTAGCTAGTCGATCAGCCACATCATTATCCTCTCGATAGACATGGGAAAAGAGATATGAAGACCAGAGTAGCATAGATATCATAAATTTTCAGCCACAAAGCATGAAAAGACCAAGAAACCTTTTGGTCATGCTTGCACCAATTTATAACATCGAGGGAGTCTATGATAAAACCCACAATACCTTTGCTAACAATGATATTCAAACCTTGCAATAGTGAGCAAATCTCAGCATGATTAGCCGTATCAGTCTCACAAGAACCAACATATGAAAATACAGTAGACTTTTCATGATTTCTTAAAATACATCCTATTCCAACTAATCCTGGGTTCCTAAAGGAGCTATCAAAATTGAGTTTGAAGGAGCCTTCTAGGAGAGGTTTCCAGATAGTACGAGGTCTACAAATGGGAATATAGCTTAAAGATAGGCTTTTTAAGTTAACAAATATGTCAACCTTAGAGACTCCTTTGCCTTATTGGTAATCGAGTTTGGATTTTGTCCTTGATGTTTTTTAGATCCAAAGAAATGCCCTCAAAAGTTCTCCTATTGAGTTAAAGACAAATCTGCCAAAGAATAAGTCCTCTAAAGATTGTCCATATTGGAACACCCTTAGATGGCAAACCTACTAGATTAAGGTGGTTAACAATACAAATGAGATTTTATGGGAGCATAAGTGAGAAGCCCATCTTACTAAAAGCCGAATTCCAACCTGTGTAGCAAAAGGACAGTGTAAAAAGAGGTGACGGCCAGTCTCTTCTGCCACTTTACACATAAGGCACACAATCGGCAGTACTGTGCCCTTCTTGTGAAGATTATCAACAGTAAGGCAACCCAAAGGAGAGTTATGACTCTAAGAGGAATATGCCACTTCCACACTCCATGGAGAAGTCCATTGGTCCATTTGACACGGTCATGGAAGAGTAATCTGTAGGCTGACTTTACTATGAATAGACCATCACTCTCACTTTTCTATACAACATCATCTGTGCCACTAAGTGAAATATATACCTCTTCCAGAAGCTGTAATTGGCTGTCGAGCTGAAAGATACCACAATCAGACATCATGTTATAGTTGCAGGCTATATTCCAAACTTTTTCCGAGGGGGAAGAGGAGACTAACTCTGAGATTTTAGCCGCCGGTGAAGAAACTCTAGCGAAGAGCTCTAGGAAGTGGTACGAGAGGGATCTATCTCCAAGCCATTTATTAAACCAAAATAGATGTTCTCACCACCGCCAACCATCTATATGATATTGCTAAGAACAATATTTTTACAAATGTAGATGCCTTTCCAGATCTAGGCAACATGTTTACCCCCTTTTCTCTTTTTAACGAGAGGTGAAATATGGTCATATCCATGTTTAACTGCCAGGACCTCCTTCTAAAGATTATTTGGGCCTTGGATAATCCTCCACCACCATTTGGAAAGGAGCACCCAATTCATAAATTTTAATTTTCTAATACCCTTAAGAAGAGTGCCAATTTCATCTGACCCCACCAAATGAAATTTTCTATACTCATCATCAAAGGAACCCCAAATGAAGTTCCGCACAATACGCTCAAACATAACAATCAATGATTTTAATAATTGTACTAGGCACATGTAGGATGGAGAACATCCGTCCCGACCCGATAGGGTCTAAGCCGGACCCAAAACCCGACCAGGTCCAAGTCATTTTGACCCGGACACCCTCTGGGTCCAACACCTGCACGCTCATGTGGACTCGACCCGATTTCCACCCCTACAGTTTGTCCACCCCATATATTCATATCAGAAGTTGGATCAATCTAGAGAAATATTAAAATATAAAATAAAATACGGTTATAATACAGGTTTAAGGGGTCAGATTTAAGAGAACCTAAAAAAATAGTAGATAAACCACAAAAAAAAAAAAAGTATAGTTCGATGGTGGGGGGAAAACGGTTTTAGGGGGGGGACTACGCCGGAACCGGTTCCATCCCAGCCGCTGGATTTTAAAAGGCAATTTTCTCAAATTTAGTCTACAACTTTTTTTTTTTGGCAATTCAGGGCACTACTAGTAGTGGTACTATCACGACCCCAATCCCATTCTAGTCAACAGCGAGAAAATAATGCCAGCCCTTACACGCTCCGCGATTGATACATGACCCCTTGTGGTCTTTACCTTACCTTGATGGACTTTTTGAAGGTAAGAGGCATAGATGCAACGCCAAGTAGTGTGAATCTCTCAGCTACAATATGACATGTTTTCCCCAATAAAATAACACCCAAGGGCCTTGCACCTTTAATTATTCTCTACGGTACTGCGTATACCTTCTTTTGCCCTTTTATTTTTCTGATTGGTTAAGATTAGACAGCATAAAACAATTAAGTTGTGACAACTGATGCCTTCTGAGTTTGTAATTTTTTTTTTTTTCTTTTTTTTTTTGGGGTAGTGGGCCCCGACCATCGATAAGATTTTTATTTTATTTTTTTTGGGGTGAGTTAGTCGGAAGTGGACCCCAACCCTTGGTAAGAATTGGCTAGGATTTAAAGATGCAAATCCGTCAAGCGCTAACCGATTAAGCCCAAGCTCTTTTATCATGATACATTTTTCATGCCGGGATGACCTGAAAATATATTGCTGCCCTTCTTATAATTAAAGTTTTAAAATTGTTATAAATTAGACAAACTTATCAATACTTGAAAATAGACGATTCAAAGTGTCACCCGATGCACAATGTATTGGACTTGCAATCCCCTGTTTTTTTCTTTTTTTTTACATCCATTTGTCAGAAGACCTAATAATCTTTTTTCTGCCCCTAATAATAAAAATTAAGGTTACAAAAAAAAAAAAAAAGGTATCTGTCAAGCAAATATGTAAACAGTTGAAAATCTTAAAAATTAATAGTCTAGTTAATATTTTAGAAGACGAACTATTTTTAAGACTTAAAATCCTTCTTTTTTTTATCCATATATCTCGAGATCGAGATCAAGATGATCAATTGCAAGGTTTTCCAATATCAAAACAATATTTTCCACTGGATTTTTAAGATATACCTTACTTCTACAATATAAGGTTGACACTTCATATAATCTTGTTCAAACTTCTTCCTCCATTCAATCAAACAAAAACAACTATAAAATGGCCCTGGAATTGAAGTCTCCAGGCAAACCAACTTCTTTTATGAAGTTTCAAAACAGAAAAATGCTGAAATCAACAGTGATCGATAATCCCAAATTGTCAAAATCAAATAACCCCACAAACCTATTCATGTACGTGCAGTGTACGGTAAGGGTGTCTATTCCTTCGGTGATTATCTATATGATTTATCTTCCAAATGTTCCCAATACAGCTTTTTCAGTCCATCATTCATGGGAAATAAGTCTTAATTTTAGTGGCATCTTTGTTATAAAATAACAAGTACCCAACTCTTCAATATTTACAATAAAAGACTGTCAAGCTTCTTGAGGGTTCGAAAAATTCATCTTTGTTTGTCCATGGTTCACGAATCACCATCAAATAGAAGCCCCAACAATTTTTTGAGTCCCTACCATTTGCTTTATGGTAGTTAACTGATCTGCCAAAGATTTGATAGTTGACTCCACAACCCATCCTTTAATGAAGTAGTCTCTCCCCCTCTCATTTTCCGATGAGACCCTGACCATCAATTGTGTCAATGAACATAATCACCCAAAGCTGAGTTCTGTTTCTCCATGGAAATGATGCAAGCAAGTCTCTCATGCACCTGTCACAACAATTTCAAAACACTCACATGAGCACCACAACAAGATATTATAAACCATTTGCACCAGGTCCAGATGCTACCTCCGAAAGCCCATTCCTATCCTTCGTTGTGTATGACTCATCGTACCTGGAGAAAACAGCAAGAACACAAAATAAAAACTAGGAAGTAATAACATATCATAAAAAGAGACAGAGAACTATTCCTCATTAACTCTTCCACTAAATTACAAATGTTACGCCCATACCAGTCACGGGGAATACCAGCCTCATCTCGAGCAGCATGGTTGAATGGGCCCTTTAACTCTACATTGTACTCCTTTAACAAGTCTATAAACCATCAGAGACAATTTTTAGAATAAGCCCAACTATTTTTCTTGAACTTGCAAAGGCCATGTCCAACTTTATTCGGAGAAAGCAGCAATAGAAAACTTATTTGTTGATGGCCCTCACATATTACCTTTGAATATAACATCAGGAGTGCAGCCCATCTTGGCGCAAACTGAAACAAACCAGAAAACACCAACGGATACATGTTGGACTTCCTCTTCTGCAATCTTAGCCACAATGCTCGATGTCCTATTATCTCCAAAGCCTACTAACTTCTTCACTAGCCTGGGACCAGCATCAAGCCCCCTGGCTTCCTAACAGAATTATCAAAAAAAGAAACAGACCACACATTCACCAGTATATAAAGATGTTATCTTCAATAGAAATAGTAAAATGACCGAAAAGATAAACAAACAGAATGTGTTATCCACAAAAACCAGAGGCAGACATGGTTGCACAAAATCTTTGGTATGGCTAGTCGATTAAAACCCAGATTCTACTAAAGATTGCTAAAAGATCCTGTAAGGGAAAGGAACATGATTGGAGATAAGGATTATTGACCGAGACATCTCCATATGGCATAAAAGCAGTGTGTTAAAAAGAAACACGGAATGCATCTAGCTATTCAAAAGAAAAGCATGACTTTTTTTTTATGGAAGAACAATGATCATAAATCAACTGGAAAAGACACCACCACTATCACTGGCACAAACCCAACAAAACCACTGTTGCCACAATCACCTTTGCCATGACTAATGCCATGGAACCAACACCACCACCACCACTGTGGAAGTGACGTAGAAGACCTCAGAATCTATCAGGGAAATAACAGCCCAAAAAACTATGTTAGGAGGATGTTTACCACTTGCTTTCTTGCAAACAGCTCTTGATTCACCTCTTGATCAATTTCAAGAAAATAAAAAGAATAAATAAAAAAGATTGAGCTCTTAAAAAACCATAGATCTGATTGCCCAATAGATGGAAAGTCCCAAGTGATAGTTAAAGATCAAGCTGCCATCCAAGAATTGCGAGTGATTTGGGGCCTGTTCAACACTGTACTAATTGACAACACAGTCCATAGAAATTTTTTTCCAACTATTTAGTATGAAACTAGAGTTGATGGATATGACTGGACTGAGATTCTGTGAATCATGGCATTCTATCTAATGCCCATAGAGGTGCCCAATGGCCCCATACGCGTTTTTCTTGAGACGAAGGAATTCCCCGTGCACTTTGTGGACAGTTGCTCTGTAGGCACACCTAGCATTCTCCAGTCATTCCCATCTTCTAACCCAATGGAGTACTACTCAGCTAAGGAGGAATGCACATCAAAGTCTGCAGTGCATGTGGTGAATATATTTCCAGTAAACGAGTCTTAGCAAAATACTAGGAGCGTGTCAAATGAAGAAGAGAAAATCACACTAAGAAAAATCACCTAGAACATGTCCAGAAATTATAAAGGCCAAATTTATTTTTTGGATAGTTAACTTTGAATACGTGGATGGAGTCGACCAAGCACAAGGCAACATCAAGGAAGTACTCGGTTATGGGCTTCCCCTATTTTGACCTGAGGGTCCCTTCCACCTTTTCTTCCAAGCAGACGCACAAGCGAGGCTCAAGGTGAGGTACAAAGGCTCTAGGGAAATCCATAATTTAGCTTCGGGTATCAACTATGACAGACCTTGATTCAGCCCCCCCCCCCCCCCTCCTCCTTAACTCTGTAGTACGTGGATGGAGTCGACCAAGCACAAGGCAACATCAAGGAAGCACTCAGGGTTATGGGCTTCCCCTATGATAGACCTGAGGGTGGTCCTTCCACCTTTTCTTCCAAGCAGACGCAGAAGCAAGGCTCAAGGTGAGGTACAAAGGCTCTAGGGAAATCCATAATTTAGCTTTGAGTATCAACTACGACAGACCTTTGATTCAGCCCCCACCTCCCCCCCACTTCTCTTGTTTCCTCATGAAACCCTTTCTTGAATGTCCGGGGATTAGGCCAACCCCTCAAGCACAACCTGTGCATCAAACACCACCCCTCCATTTTTCCCTAACTGAAACTAAACAACCCCACCCCTCCCTCCACCTCATTCAGCAGGTATGGGACTGCAGGCCTTGTCAATATGTTTCCTTGCCTAATTGGGACCCTTTTGAGCACACCCTGATCTCCCTGACTACGGCACCTTCTCTGTCATAGTTCTCCTTTCCAGGAACTCGGACAGTCTTCCCTGGAATTCTCGGCCATCGATGGGCCAAACTCTGCATCCTCCAAAAGCCTTCCTTGGGATGAACTTGACCTGGTGGCTTCCCTCCCCCATCCCTCATGGTGTCTGGGGGGGGAGAGGAGGGGGACTTCAACATTACCTGTTGGTCTTTCAAGAGAAACTCCAACCCTAATATTTCTCAAGGAATGTTAGATTTATCAGACTTCATCTCGCGAAATGAACTCATTGACATCCCCCTCCAGGGGAACCAATTAACTTGGTCTGATCACTCTTCCCAACCGTCCCTTTCCAAACTCGACCGGTTCCTCTTGTCCACCAGCTGAGACGATGTTTTTCCTATTTCTAACGCTCTGGCCTTGCCCAAACCAACCTCCGACCACTGCCCTATCCTCCTCGATACCAATTCAGTAGTGAGGGGCCCCAAACCCTTTCGTTTTGAGCTTTCGTGGCTCGAAGAATCGGCTATTTCTATGCTTATCTCTGAATGATGGAACTCTTTCTACCCTCTGGTCTCGGGTAGGACTGGGTATAAGCTTCAAACCAAACTTCAGCTCCTTAAAGCTTCCTTCAAATCCTGAAGTAGAACCATCCCTGGGAACTTCAGTCACCTCAAGACCTCTCACGCTTTGCAGTTCAATCCTTGGGCCTTATTGAGGAATCCTGACCCCTGTCGGACTCCGATCTAATCTTAGAACCCAACACAAAGTTGAATACCTTTCCATTCTTAAAAAAGAAGAGATCTTTGTCGGCGGTCAAGGGTGAAGTGACTACAATTCGGAGATCTCAACACTGGCTTCTTCCATAGGATAGCGAATTGCCATCACCGGGACAATTCCATTACTAGCATTAAGGTTGACAACAAGATTCTAGACCAACCCCCTAGAGTTGAAGAGGCCATCCTTTCCTTCTTCAAATCTCTCTACACTTGCCCCCTCAGAACCCAAACATAGGATGGCAGCCCTTCCCTTTCTCTCCCTTCCCGATCACTTGGTCACCTGGTTGGAACGACCATTCTCGAAAACTGAAATCTTGGCGGCCCTGACCGATTTAGGACAATACAGAGCCCCAGGACCGGATGGGTTCCCCTCAAACCCATTCAAGGTTTTATGGAGTTCCTTCAGAAATAATTTTTTGAATTTCTTCAAAGAGTTTTTTCATCAGGGAATCATCCACAAAGCTATGAATGCTACTTTTATCACCCTCATCCCCAAGGTCAAAGGGATTGAAGAGCTTAAGGACTTTCGCCCAGTAAGCTTAATTACTTTCACTTACAATATCCTCATCAACAGCACACCTAGGGTTTTTTTCCGAGTGTCTAGGGGACTACATCAAGGAGACCCACTCTCCCCTTTCCTCTTTGCTATTTCGGCTAAGGTCTTTAGCCAATCAATTTCTTGCATGTACCAGTCAAGTTGTCTAACTAGCTTCAAGAATAGCCCTAAGGGACCCGTCTTATCACATCTCCAATATGCTGACGACACGCTCGTCTTCCTTGACGTGGCACCCCAGGAAATCGAGTTTCCCACGGGATTCAAAGTCAACAGGGCTAAATCCACAATGACTGGAGTCGCTCGCACTTCACTTGGGACTTGATCCCTGGTCCCCGGTTGGCACTACAAAGTGGACAACCTACCTACAAGCTATCTTGGTATGCCATTGGGCCTTGGTAAACCCAAAAAGAGGCAATGGTCCCATATTATTGACAACTAGATCGCCGTCTGGCAGATTGGAAAGGACGTTTTCTTTCTCTCGCAAGAAGAACCACCCCTATCAAGGCGACTTTAGCCAACACCCCTATTTACCTCATGTCTCTATTTCACATGCCCGTTGCGGTGGCTAAGCGTCTTGAACAGTTAATGAGGAGCTTCCTCTGGGCGGGAGATGCCAAAACCAAGAAATATCACCTCATCTCGTGGGAGAAAGTATGTCAGCCCAAAACACCTAGGAGGTCTTGGAATTCACCTCTTGAGGAAACAAAATACCGCCTTTACTCAGAAAACAGTGGTGGTGCCTAGCAACTCAAAATAATCTCCTCTAGACCCAGGTCATCCGTTGCAAATACCGCGTCCCTGCCAACGGTTGGCTACCGGCTGGAAGACCACCTAATAGACCATCCAGGGCATGGAAGTCCTTTTTGTCCTTCTTAGTCCTATTCCAGAGAAACGTCTACTTCCACCCTAGGGAGGGACATCGTATTCAGTTCTGGTCCGACCTCTAGTTGGGCCAAACTCCCCTTATGGACCTATTCCCCGCACTCTTCTCCTCGGCCCTAATCGTACTCTCCTTTGTTGTGGATGAGATGCCATCCTCGGGCCCCCTTAGAGTGTGGAATCCTTCTTTCAAGTGGCCTCTTTATGACCTTAAAACCTCTGAATTTCTTAGCTTGTCATCCCTGCTTCACTCAACATTCTTGGCTTCCTCTAGGCCCGACCAAATTATTTGGACCCCTTCACCCTTGGGTTGTTTTTTCTGTCCCCTCCGTTTATAAGAAATGTTTGTTGCCACCTCTTTCCCCCTCTCCCCAAGCTCCATTGTCGCCCAGGCATGGTCCTCTATTGCTCCTCCTAAAGTCCAACCTTGGCATGGATAGTTCTATCTAAAAAAGCTCTCACTGTGGTCCATCTCCAGTGTAGGGGTGTCCCAATCACCAATCGTTGCACGATGTGTCTCATGGAAGAAGAGAGTAATCCTCATCTCTTCATCCATTGCCAACTCGCCCACAACCTGTGGAGCTGCTTACTGCTCCAACTCTTTGGTCTGAAATGGGTTACCACCCCTCCATTCTGGCTCTTTACAATCTTTCTCTTGCCACCCCGTGGCCCAAAGACGGCAGGAAATTGGAGAAGGCTTCTGTCGCTGCCACCATTTGGGTCATTTGGACCAAGAGGAACTCGAGAATTTTCGAAGAAGTCAAAAGTGAGATTCCAGCCCTCTTCCACAAGGTTATTGCCGTTGTCATCTTTTTGGGCTACAAATCACAAGTGTTTCAAAGGAACCTCATCCGCGACCTTCCTTCACCAATGGAAAACCCTTCTCAACACCCGCACCCCACGCAGTTCTCAGTCCAACTTTTGGTCCCCCCCCTTTGGGCCAAACAAAATTAAACATCTATGGAACAATTGGATGGAGCACAATAGGACAATTTCATGGGGTTTTGAAGGGAAGGTGAATTCCACTGCTATCAATAAGGCCAGCTTTGGAAGGAATTCAATTCTTTCTCCACTTCGATTTCTACTGAATTGGTACCTGATCTCTATGTCGACCCGCTTGACTACCCCGAGATCCACACATTCAATGGCACCCAAACCAGGCACCCTCAAACCTAACTTTGACAGGTGCTCTGAGATAATCTGGATAGTGCAGTAATCAACAAAGGTTTCAGGGATAGTGCAGCAATCATATTCTCATATTTTTCAGGGCCAATTGGCAACACGATACTAACTATCACAGAGGCACGGGCACTCCTAGCAGGGCTCCATCCTTTCGATCAATCATGGGGCTCCTCCTTAGTGGTAAAGGAAGATTTCATGAATGTTTTTAATGGGGCAAAGAGGATGTTCCCTTGCAATTGGTCCTCGGTGCATGTGTTTCAAGAGATCACCGAACTTAGCAGATCCTTGTGAATCTCTATTAGCCAGTTTTACAAAGATACCAATACATGTATCGGTGTCTATGCGTGTCCAGTATGGGAGGTTAAAAAGCCAGTACTTTCGAACACATCCTTCTAATAGTTTATTTTTTTGAAGTTTTTATATAAATCAAAACTTCAAAAATTCAAAAGTGCGCTAAGTGGCTTTAGACAGTAACCTACTTTTTTTGATGGAGATAGAGGTCCAGGGTTCAAAATCAAAATCACATTATAGAAGTTGTTTATGTTAGAAATATATATACACAATAAGTTATAACATCAATATTCACAAAAAAGTTGCATGCACATCATGGTAGAGTGACCTCACTTTAACAAAGGTGTCACAAACTTGTAATCTTTATATTTCCCTGGCTTAATAGTATATATATATATATATATATACATAGGAAAACGCTGCACAACGCCTATAGGCGAAAATGAACAGTGATTTCGCCTACCCTCATCACCATCCAAAGTTCATCACGCGGTCACGATTGTCCGATAGTGTTTTATTTTTTTTCTACAAATCAGAATGACCTGAAATTTGAAATGTATATTCATCAAAAATAGGGGAATCTTCGAAAAATATAAAAAAAATATTTTACACGAAAATAATTGACCAAAATACCCCCGAAACTTTTCGAGGCTACTTTGGTCAATTATTTTTTTGCGGATGATTTTTTTTATATTTTTATTAGATGCGCCTCAGTAAGATGTACATACCCTCCAAATTTCAGTTTATTTTGATTTGTAGAAAAAAAAATGAAAAATAAAATACTACTGGACAATCGTGACCACACGATGAAATTTGGACGGTGAGGGTAGGCAAAATCACTATTCATTTTCGCCTATAGGTGTTGGGAAGACTTTTTCTATATATATATATATATATATATATATAGATATATATATAGATATATATATTAAGTTGCATCAACATTCAAAAAATGTTGCATGCACCTCATGGCAGAGGAGGCCTCACTTCAACAAAAGGTAATGTGATCAGACCCCTCAGGAAATTATAGTTTTTGGTGCTTAACTAAAAAAAAAAAACTGTAAAATAACTTTTTTGGACAGGTTGGGGCTTGAACCCACCCAGCAAGCAAGTCCGATCTACCATTTAAACACTTCGATTTTAATGACAACAAAGTAGAAATTATTTTATAATACAACCTATGACAAGTGTTGATGTGGTACTAAAACTCAATGACAATCTGACAGGTGCGGCCACGTGCCAGGGCCATGTCAAAACGTGTGTCGGCACGTATCAACACGTGACACCAGTCCCCATGTGGAGTGTCGGGGTAACATTGCTTTTAGCCACACAGGGCAACAGGCCAATGCCATACTGGATAGTCTTGCGAATGAGGGTGTTTTTCATCCAAATCTTGTCATTCTCTACCACTGCCCTAAAGTGGTGAATTTAATGGTTCTTATGCACAGTGAATCTCCCATTTTGGACTGTAACGAAAAAGTCTATCTATAATAAGTTTATGTTTACTGCTATAAATACAGTGTCCAAGTTCAGGTGCAATGATCAGATGTATCCTAGCCAATAGGATTTAATGTAGAAGCACCCCATTCCAAGATATCTTCTAATGAGAAGGAAAGGATTAAGACTTCATAATCAAAGTACTAGCTATTAATAGGACAAAAACAAACTGAAGTATGGTCCACAAGAAATAGATGTGAACACGAAGCGGAGCCTATAGAGATTTACACAAATGTGTGAAATGGTTCAAGAGATGTGAACTAAAAGATTGTTAGCATCTGTAATGAAGTACAAGGTTTCAGAATAAAATGGAATGCTCATTTAAACTGCTAGCACCTTATACATCATGTTTTTCTTTTTTAATATATATGGAGGACTGCTGGCTCATTATTCTGAGAAAGTTCAATATCACTCAAAGCCATACTATTCTTTTTTTTCCCTCTCTTTGAGCCCACAAATAATGAAGATACAAGGAATAACAAGGGATTAAAATCAAATGGAATTGGTCCTCTTTGTGGATCAGAAGCATTACGATGAGACAGTGGAGTAAGTCTTGGATTGGAATTTCAAGAGATGTAATTCTCATTAGAGTAAAAAAAAATCACATACAGGGACATCAATTGATTGTTTTCTGCTCTCAATCTCACACTTTTCTGCGTGCACTTTTCTCAGTCTTGTTTTTGGCCTTCCTGACTATGACATTGAATTATTCCAAAAGTTCAAGCCACAACATCTTTAAATGGCTAGCCAACTAAGAAACATATAGGCTTATTTGCCATGACATGTAATGAGGAAATACATTATGTATAAGAGAATCTGAAAACAAATTTCCTTGAAGTAATCAATTCCAGGCAACATGCCGAAGCAGCAGTCCCATTGTTGGTAGGATTTCTCTAGTTAGACTTCCTGTTAATGGTGATGAGATGGGACAGGGCTTTGCATGGACTGGGCCGTCCTGGACTTGAACCAGAGTCCTCGAACATATAAAGTTGCCAGTATAATATCATGACTAAAGGAACATAAAATAAGAAATGCAATGCTATCAGCATGTAGCCACAAAAGGTGAACCATGTAATCTAATTATGACAGTGACAATTCCAATCAATGTAACATTGATTGCAAAAGGACTTTACATCCAGTATGGTCTAGCAGTATTCACAAATACATTAGCTACCTGAACTAATGGAATCACAGCCAAACGAGCGGCAACACACCCAGATGTTTTCTCACACTCCCTCCACAACAGATTATGGGCAGGCATATCTCCATAACTATCACCAGGAAAAAGGAGAATCAATAGAAGGCAGGCAAATAAATTGCAGCCGACAGAGGTTTGCTTGGACTTTTCCACGAAATTACAACACTAGACCAGATGTTATGCAAACTAAATTACAGTGATGAAAAGTAAACAAGCAAGCACCGAAAGAACAGAAAGCCTAAAATGATCACTTGAGCACTTTATTTTAGAGGTCAGAGTCAGATAAAATCTAAGTTCCCATACGGATAACCCACTATATTGTAGTTTACCTGTGATATAGCGGTCAGCTTGCCTGTGGTAAGTGGTTGCCCAGAAACCACCATTTGGTAACTCAAACTCTATTGCCACTCCTTAGAAATCTACACTTTTTGCATTGTTGCTCAGCTCAGAGCTAATTCCCCACCAAATGCAAACTGCACAGTGCAGATTGCAATTTGATGTGAATCGAAGCCATCCCACTTTTGCCGACAAACATGTAACACAATTACAGTTTGATATGTGGATGAACTTTGTGGGCAGAATTTATTGTTAACATGCTCATTCACAGTACAAAATTTACGTTAAAAGGTCTAGACCAATGTTTAAAAATAGCTAACCTGGATCAGGAATTGCTGATCCAGATAAGAAATCGGTGAATACCGTGCTGATTCTGAGAAGGAATTGGCTGGTTCTTTAATATTATTATGAGAGACAATATTATAAGCTAAAGGGCCTATTTTTTTGGGGTAAAAATTAAGCTAAAGGGCTTACTTGGCTAGTGCTGGGGAGCACTTAATGCTTGGTTGGGAGTTCAAATCCCCACCCAAGCGCTCTTCTACCAGTTAAATTTTTGTATGTTGTACCTCAGAAATCATTTTCTTATTTTAATGAGCACTTATTTATTAACAAAAGAAGCATTGCAGCAGGAGGAACCAAACCTCCAACGCTTTGGAAAGGAAAAGACACTTTAGCTACCACACCCAGCCTCACTAAGTGGTTAGAAATGTTGATATTATATATTATATAAAATTCATTTGTTTTTCTCTCTTTATTTTTCCGATCTGGAGAATCTAAATCGCCAATTTGGCTAATCCAGATCGGTTCTGGATCAGCCAGATCGGAATTGGCGGGTGGACGATCCAACCCACCGAACACTGGTCCAAAAAGTTTGCTAGGCCTACAAAATCTTATCCATGAAATAAAAGAAAATCAATTAATAATATTTTTATGTCCATTACCTCATCAATATGCAAGAATCGAATAAATAGATGGACAACACTAAAATACTCAGAATGGTCAAAAGTAGGAATTACCTGAAGCCAAGCTCAGCAAGCCTTTCAGAACACCATAGATAGTGACGACTCTCATCGTCAGCAACATGTGCAAAATCTGAGAAGAATCCAGTCCCAAGAGCCTCCTGGAATGAAGAAAACCGGACTATGGTATCCCATGCCAGATCAATAGCATTCAATTCAACATGTGCAAGATTGTGGAGCATATATGCATTCAGTGGAAGACCAGAGTTTTTAGGATCAGGTACTTCTTTTGGAGAAACCTATAACAAAACATAAAGTAAGAAAGACAACGATCCAATGCTAAGTATCTATATCTTCATAAAATAGTTATTGGCAGGTGCAATTGCAAGAGAAAGGCTCCCACTTTATTTTCTAGCATTTTCAAAGAAACACTTACGAATCTTAGGATCATTCGGGTGAAGTGCACCCTACCTTTTCACCATATCAATTCACGAATATGGCATGTAGCCATTTTATTTTTTGACTGCTAAGAAAAAGGAGTACAAATAAACCAAAAATTACTGGGAGATATCACTTTCAAATACTACTATACAATTTGGTATACGTCAACAGCTAAGCAAATACATATCCACTTTGCACCACTGTTGAGAGGATTTTGGATCTTTTTCAAGCCTAATATTATTTTCCAAATGTCCTGTCAATGGTAAGGAATTCTCAGTTAGGATTAGGCCCTCCCTTCTAAGAAAAGCTTTCTCTCAAAATGCACAGAGCCTACGGAACACTGAAGTAGATAGACGAAGTTGTAGCTCGTGTAGTCTTATAATTTGAAAGTTATCGAGGACAAGGTTGAAAGTTTATCAAGGTCTGTACTTCAAAAGTGAAATAGATCAAAGTTAGATCAACTCTAGTATGGTCATCCTCTCATGGTTTATTAAGGACAGGGCCGTAGTAAATGTCCATTTTATTGGAGCTGCTAAGATATAGCCATGGAACAATAACCAACAGAGACGTGGATTTGGTAGTCTACACAGTACATACCTTAGTCAAAACACAACCCTACATGCCAGAGCCTTTAGCTTGTCTGGCTTTTGATATATTACCACCAATATTGCAATGCATATTAATCATACTGGCCTTCCAAATGAGGTTGACTTTCGGATAGTATGCCATTCTCAACTACCACTCAGGGTATTAGTATGGTTACATCCAGAGGCATATGATCTATCTTCAGACATATGAGTCACACAATACACAGCATGATGCATCATAAAGGGCACATATTAAATCGATTGAATGGCGAAGTAAAACCCCATTAAATAAATAAAATAAGACCCAGTGAGAATCAAGCACAAACATGTGTATAATTGATGAAAGAACCAGAAAAGCCACAGTAACAGGATACCTACAGAACACAGGCAGAAGATAATACAAACACCCTTGCTAAAATCTATATCCACATTAGTCCTCTCCCAAGGACATCTCTTTGATATACAAATGCATAGAGGATATATATGTACATATTGTTTGTAAAGATAATGTTGCACCAAACATAAATATATCTTACAATCATGGATAGTGCATCAGCTTAAGTGCAATATTGTCACTGTTCAAAGCCCTCTAAAACGTAATGAAATTAATCATTAGTCTGCCACCAAAATCGACGAGTTCAAATCAACTTTAATGTCCCCATTATTTCTTAACTTTGTATGGCATTTGTCGACAAATAATAGACGAGTTCAAATCAAAATCTATCTTGAACACTGTATATATTGATAAGATTGGAAGGTTACACTACACGGATTCAGTTGAAACACAAGATCTTAACATTAAATACCAAACATGAAATACCCCTTAGTTTTGTGCCTGAGTACATTATCCTGGCTAACATCTATGATGGTGGGGGTATATGTTGTGACAAGGGCCGAAATGATTTGCGATATTTTACAAAGCCATATCAACTCAATAGAGACCCTGGTAAAAATATTTTACAATCAGCAATTACATGTCAGGAACAAAAAACTTGTTTCAAATTAAAAAAAAAAAATTTATAAGTTTTGAAAGTCAAGTGTGCCCATCAGGGATAAAAATTTCAATTAACTCCTGCATTAGAAACAAGCTTCAGCTCTATATTTTGAAGCTTCTGACCCATTTCAGAATTTGAATTATGGTGTTATGGTAGAGAACTAATTCCCATATATTTCTTTGGGAAGAGCGTGACGCATCCGCTTAGTAATCCTTAGTTCATTATTTTCTGTCATTACATTTCAAGAAAATGCTTATACACAACCAGAAGCTTGTGTGTTCTAATACTCTAGAGGCATTGATGACCATGCACGACATATTTGTTTTGTAACGATAGCTCGATTCAAAATTTCCAAGATAATGCAATAAGAAGGAACAAATTCCTTCAAAAATACAAAAGAATAAAACTAACTTAAAAAGCGGCATGTGTTACAATGGGATAATACTGGTTATGACAGAAAGGAAAACTTCCCTAACAATCTAAACCATAAAACATCTGCCATCATTTGTAACAGACTCTTAGATGAGACAAACAGTAAGTTTGATGGCTACACTGAATGTCATAGATTTACATTCGAGCCAAGCAAAGGAAGTTATCAAATAACTTTTGGTTACTGCAACATTCTATCACTTTCAACACCTTATTTGCCTCACAAGAATAGGCAAGACAAAAAAACCTCACAAACCAAACTTTGTCCAAAAGTGGTTGATGCCACTTCATTTTAAAGCCAAAGAGAAACAAACTGCAACTACTATAGCAGCAAAAGGAATAAAGTATAGAGCAATCCATGAAGCCATAAATTGATTCCTGCTATAATATCAAGCTTAACATAATATATGCCATAATCAATTGTATTATCAACAATCTTAGCAATAAACACCTGCACGAATCAATTTAATTGTCAAGAATCATAGGTGAGAGAGAGAGGGGGAGAGATACCAAGTGAGGTTTTGGGGGCCTTGCAGGTCTATCAGGAGGTTCCCAAACACCAAGACAGAGATCATTTTCACGCCAAAGAGTGTAAGCATGGTGAGACAACCGCGCTTTAGTGATAGGATCAGAAGTGGAGAGAACAAGAGTCCCCCATTCTGAGAGAGAAGAGGGAGTTCTTTGAAAACCATTACAATGCTGGTTTAGAGGAGAGGTTGCTGGGGTTAATGGTGGTTCAGGGCCTTTAGGACCCCATGTCCTGTCATGGTTAAGGGGAGCTTCTCTCCATTGTTGCAGGCCTATCCATTGATTAGTGGAAGCGGAAAGTGGCCGCTTTGAGCGGAATACATTGAGAGTCTGGCTAAGAGGGGTGGAGCGCATGGGCCTCAGCTGCACCCACATCTCGCTTGCTGCTATTCCTCTCACGTACATATCGCACTTATATAGGGGAAAAGTTTATATAGAGCCGAGGCTATCTCCAAAATTTCAGTTGAAGAGCTTGTTTTTGATGCTCATATGCCTTCAAATTGATCATCTCCATATCAAAATGCATGAACATAACAAAAAAAATGAATTTTAAAATTTAAAAATAGTATATTTTGTAAGGTAATTTTGGACAGTCAATTTTCAAGATTTTCAAGTTTTTATATATATGTCGAGCTACGCTATTTTTGAAGCTTTAAACTTTATAAATAATGATGAAAATATATTTTTAAGCTATAATAAAGATTTCAAGCATTGAAACCATATTTCTCAACACCATTTAGAGGTAGGTTCTAATTTGATTGTTTAGAGCCTAGGCTCTATACAAACTGCATCCCTTATATAAAAGGGATATTTAATTGTTAATATATGTCATGTGGCCGTCGGTTCTTGATCTAAGAATGTCACAATCAGTTCTAGCCTTTGGATTTGAAATGTGGAGGCTCAAAATAATGCACAAAAGTTTGTGAAATTTTTTTTATTGAATATTCTGCATAATCAATGACGTACCTTTAGCCATTTGATTGTATGTTTTGAGGGCTAGAAATAAGTAATAAGCTCCTTATGTTAACAGGAAATGGTCTCATCATATACCTTTTCAATTTAATTTATCTAACTATTTACTTTTGTTACACGAAGGTCACAAAATACTTCTAAGTTCTAACCATCCAATTTCAAATTAGACACTTGGAATTGTATCACGAAGTTCGAAAAAATTGTTTGTAAATTTTAAATCTAGTCAATGACACATTAACAACCACCTGATAAAAAATGTTTGTGACTTCCTTATTTAAGAGTTAAAAAAAAAAAATTTATATAGATTCAAAACTATAAACATCATGCCCAAATATCCTCAAATTGATCATCTCGACTTTAAGATGCATGGACATGAGAAAAAATGGATTTCAAGTTTTGAAAAATAGTGCATCTTGTAATACATTTTTGGATCTTCAATTTTCAAGATCTTCAAACTTTCATAGATCTGCTCGATCTACACTATTTTTTAAGCTTTCAATTTTATAATTAAATATAAAAATATATTTTAAGACTATCACAAAGATTTCCAATATTGAAGCCGCATTTTTTGATACTATTTGAAGGTGTACTTTACTTTGATTATTAAGAGCCTTGACTCTATACAAATAGCACCCAAAAGTAAATGGTCTCTTTGTATATTTTTTCTTTTGCTCATATACAACTCTTCCAACTGCAAGAAATTTATATTTATTCTTTTAGTGCCGCAAAAAACTTATATTTATTCTTTTAGTGCTGCAAGAAACTTACGTTTATTCTTTTAGTTTAATAGTTAGCTTATATTGATTCTTTCTAACGTCCACTAAAGAAATATTATTGTGTTGTAAGTAACTGACAACTGGAAAAGAGATCCTTGAACTCTTTGAATATTGGAATGAACTAAAAACCATTCCAGTTAGATATACTTCTTAAGATTCAAAATTTTCTCACCTACTTGAGTCAGGTGAAAAACTAGCATTGTTATCTAATCAAGTGTATTAAAACCGATCTATATTTTCCACTAGAAATTTAATTTTGTATCAATGATACACCGCCTAAAATTTTCTTGGCTTAAAAAAAAGAAAATTGAATGTTCTATAGCTGGAATGAGGCAAGAATCATACAAGTCCTCTCCTTAATGGAAGACACTAAGGAACAATTTGTAGCAACAATAAGCAATCCCAGTAATTCAGTATTGCACAAACAAAAAATGCATAAAGTCGACTCAATTCATATTCCACAAATGACAACTTAGATGGAATCTCAACAACAAGCAATCTCAACAAGTATAGTTCATTGTCCAAACCTTATGAGTACAACTTCAAACCACTAGTCATATGAGAACTAGCAATAAAAAATTAAGTACAAATTTAGGTTTGTGATTTTCTACACCTCAAAAAAACTTTCGGCCAAGTTAGTAAATCATTCTCCTTCGCATGTGATTCATCAACAAGCCTTCCCTCTTGGCTACCCAAAGTGCCACTTCTATCTCCCCCTCTTCGTGAACAAAAATTTCACCGCAGTTCATCACTTAAAACGGAAACCACCACCTAACACCTGTCATCTCTTCGTTTTGTTCTCCTCTCATTGTCCTCATTGCTTGTGATCTCTCCTCCATTTTCTTCCTCGTCGTTCTCACTTTCATTCTCATCATCGCTTCCATTTCCTTCCTCACCGTCATCAATTTCAGTGTCATCCTCTTCTCTACCATCCTCACTCTCACTCTCGCCCTCTTCTCCACCCGTCTTACCACCGTCCTCACTTTCAGTGTTATCCGCTAGCTCCTCGACACATGTCCTTCATTATCAAGTCATGAGTTGCGAGTACATAAAGCCAGGATTGTCTTGCCAATTCTTTATTTTTGAATGAAGCATCAAGCATCTGTATAACGGTATGTTGCTGCATGTACAATAACAATTATATAGTTTGAACATAAATGTGGATTGAAAAAATAGTATATATGCAATATCAAAACAGAACTACATGATGAAATAGATAAGGTAAATAGTTTACCCATCTTCATGCATCATCATGGCCCACGTGGCACATGGAGCTTTGTTCAAGTGAACTCAACCGCAAGCAACCCACATCATCGTCTATATCCCAGTACGTATGTGAAAACCGGTTGTATCAAGCCATGTACTATATGTTAAGCACCCCATTAACCATGTCAGTTTTAGCTTGAATAATATTATTTATTTGTTGGCACCAGTCCATTATCTCCTCACTCAATTCATTTATCCAATTTGTAGGGTGTCTATCATATTTCTTCCTTTTATCCCACTTGGGAAGCTCAACAGGACTCACTTGTGTCTTTCCAAACTGTCAAAACACACAACAGCTGACAGAGTGCAGTTTTCTTACTAACAAAGTCTAATGCGTCGTAATATTATTATCGAGACTCCTCATATAGTTGCCAATTCAACTTATAAAACAAAACATAGCACAATAAATATTTTAATAAAACATTCATACATCGGTAAACAGCAAATATATGAGCATATAAGCAAACCACTAATTGAATGAAGTCTAAGATTTGCAAGCACTTTGTATAGGTCATTATAGTGTGGTGGTTTACTCCACATACAAGCTCTAGGCAAACTCGAGTTGGTCGAAATGGTCCTGAGGCATAGCGGTGTAAAATACTCGTAGACCCAACACAAAACTAAGAGAAAGTTAGTAAAACTCTAAATTTAGATTCTCAATCTAAAAAAGTTTACTTGAAAGGGTTGCTGACCCACTAAAATACATTGTCTCTCTGCTGCGACCTTAGATAGAGGTCGATATAGGAATACAAGGGTCGTCGTACACCACGCATACTTCCACGCGTCATCAAAGTCTTCAAACAATTGGAAGTATATTGCGAGTGTTAATCCTTTTGATGAGTCGGCGAAAATGTTTGTGCCAACAAAGTACAGAAGATAAGCACGGGTGTAATGCACCAATTGCTGCTAGGTGGGATTTTTAGGAAGTTGATCATACTTCATCCTCAGCCAAGTATGTTTAATCATCATCAACTTCTTCTCATTGGGGCAATCTCTTAGATATGTCTATATGAATTCTTTATAGTTTTTCAGACTTGACACTTGTTACGAGCTCGTCTGTCACAGGTATTTGTAAAATCCTCCATGCATCATATAAAGTTAAAGCCATCTCATCAATGGTTAAGCATGTTGTATTTGTCTCCTTACACCACATGTTTATGATTGCCGTCAATAAATTGTGATCAACCTTTGAGACCCCTAATGTCCATCAATGATCCAAGGCCAGTCTTCATGTCTACTTGTCTCTGTTCGTGCTTCCATAAGGTTAGGGATTTAGTAGCTTAATCAACACATATCATCTTTCTTACCTATAATGAAATCAATAGTAGAATAACTAGTACTCATTCAATTACATAAAGCACGAACTAAAATGAATAAAATAATATTTCAATATGTCATACTTCTCCCCCTTGATCAGACGAGTTAGATATGTCCACACTTTGTATCGCTAGATCTAACATTTACATCGTTAGTGTTTCATATGTAAATATATCATGCACAAAATATAAATAAAAAGGAACATGCACATTCAATAAAAAGCCTAACTTGCTCTTTTAATAATGAAATCATTTACATAAATTTCCAATACAAAATGCATGCTAACAAAGGGGAAGGAAAAGAAAAAAGAGGGAAAGCGGAAAAAGACAAAAAAAAAGTGTTGTCTTCAAATACTAGCTTTATATGTTACCCTGTTGTGACCAGGTGCGCCGCACCTACTACCATGGATAAGACTCACTTCGACCTCTTGCGACTCGATGTGCTTCTTTCTATGACATCTAGGGGGGGTCTTGAGCGAGGTGGAAACACCATTACTTCATTGCGAGGAAGTTGTCGAGCCCCACGCCCAAAAAGATTGATTAAGGTAACTGGCATGACGGCTTGAGAATATGTTTCATGATATTTTGAAATGAAATAATATTCGCAAAAGTCAACGTCATCCCTATTGAGCCATTGAAGACCTCTACAAGCATGTTTGCAAGGTATTTTCATTATTTGCGAACCTCGACTTTAACATTCTTATGAAATAACATTAATCATGTAATTCATGTGATCACCCCTTGCTTCAAATACCCCTACATTTGCTATCGTGACCCTCACAAAAAGTGAGTTTTTTATGATCACTTCTAATTCGTCTTGAGCGTGAGAGGTAAGCTTTGTAGTCCAGGTTTTAACCTCCAAATTATGGGTGGCCATCCGTTTCATTATTTGCCTCCTAATCGAGTCAACACATTTGAGAATAGGCATAACTCGAGCTTCTAAGATCCAATTATTAAACAACTCTACGATATTTGTTGTCACTTTGCCACACCACTTATCCCTAAACAATGATGTAATTTGGTGATGTTTCTATGAATCATATATAGGCATCCTCAGAATATGATCTAATATCTGTCATGAGGTCTCTATACTCTTCTTGCC